CAGTTTTAAACCAAGAATGTTTCAGTTGCTGAATGTCTGGAGTTCATTCCAATCCTGGACAGCATCAGTTAGGAATGGACTTAGCATAAAACAGAAGATTTTTCAACACAGCAGAACGTGAGTTATGAGTCAGCTTTTGCTATAGAAGATGGGAAAATACATTCAAAATAAGATTTTAATTAATTTTGGCTCCTAAGGGAGATTTTTTTGAAACTGGCACAATGCAAACTAACCCTATTCTATTGCACTTTATTTAATTTTATTTACCTATTTTCATCATGGCTCATGAGCTGAACCCACTGCTCTGTTTCATCATCATGCTTGTCAGACTCCACATATTACCTGAGCTATGAGCAGAACTTGCAGCAGTAGTCAAATTATTGCAAAAGGTCCCACAAAATGAAAAGTTGCATCAGATAAATATGTGATTGTTAACTGGATAATTCTGCAATAAAACAGTACTTTGATGTTTAAACAACCAGAATTTCCAATATTATATGTGGTAAGTTATTTGTACTAGGATGAGCTTAGATTTCAAAATCCATTCATTTTTACAACCTCCCCCATCTAGATTCTACAAACTCATAAAGAATCTTCAGTAATTAAAAATGGAAATACACAGAGAAAGATGCAAACACATGAAATCTTGTACACTTTATCTCCATATATAGCATTTGAAGATTTTCTGCAGTATTTTTTAATCGATCTGATGGATTCACTGTACAAAAAGAATGCCTGACTGATATGATTACTTCCAACCTCTGGACATTCCATTACATAGCTCTAAGAATAGGCATCTACATTTATTTGACTTTAAGTCCACAGCACTATTTGCCTTAAGTAAATTGTTAATATGATTATAGCACATATATAAAAATATAACACACCTAAAAACTAATAGCAAATCACCAATCAATGTACAACGAGTACAAAGCACTCCATCTTAAGCCTGTTCCAAAAGGAAAAAACCAAAACAATACTGCATTAAATTACATTTTAAAAAAAACCAAACCAGCCTGAATCAGGCTTCTAGAATATTACTGAGAAGTTTCAACATTAATAATTCTTTCCATAATCTGGGAGATTATCAGCAATATTGTTAATACCCTGAGTCAACTGATGTTTTGATTTATGGATAGGAAAACCACCTGGTTTTGGAAGTGAAATAACTTCCTATGGGATAAAAATTACTCTGTGGGTAATTATACCACTTTACTCTTGAGTTTATAACTCAACATTACGTTTTAAAGTTTGCATTTACTTTTTTTTCATTCTGTCTGGCACAGAACTTTCCTCCTTCTGCAATTAACTTTAGCAAATTTCCTATGGGATAAAAATTACTCTGTGGGCAATGATACCACTTTACAACTCAACATTACGTTTTAAAGTTTGCATTTACTTTTTTTCATTCTGTCTGGCACAGAACTTTCCTCCTTCTGCAATTTACTTTAGCAAAAGTTTTAGAGGTAGGAAAAAGAATGTAATCCTTGCTAAAATGGAAGACAGAATCAATAGAAAAGCATAGAATGCCAAACTTGGTGATGAGTCATTTGAATTAGCAAAACTTGCTCTAATACTGTTGAGGAGGATGTGCTCAGGAAAAACTCAGTGTATTTTTTACTGTGATTTGCAATACATTGGATATCAGTCTCCAGCACTGAGTGACCAATTAATATTGTATACCAAAAATGTAAAATTATGATCTTGAACTGAGTTCCTGTGTATGATTCAGTGAACTTGTTCAGGAAAGAAGAGTGATCTAGAATAACTTAATTTGAAATTTATTAACACAGTGATCACAGCTGAGATCACTGTGTTAATAAATTTCAGGTCAAAACTATAAGAATAGTATTTATAAGCACTGCTGCTATGGATGTGCTTCTGTGGAATAATGAAATGAAACCCTATTGAAATGTTCATCCTATTTCACAAACTGAAGCACAAATGCTGTCAGCTGATGCTTAGGTCAGTACCAACAAAATCACTTATCCAATGTTTGAAAAAATTCAACAGTACAAAAATAGACAACTAATTACTTTAGATAGCACAAAGTTTATAGAGATCTAAAAAAGAAACACCTGTTTTATTCTATTATGCTTCTACCTTTGGTACTAAAAATAGTACTACATCCATACAAAGTAAGGTTGTAAACATTATTTCATTTTTCATAAAAAGTATCACAAATTATCAACCATTTTAGGAAATCAGCTCTTCAGTTATTAAGGAGAATTTTACTCATGTACATTCAGGCATTTTACTCAAGTACAGAAAACAGTAAAATGCCTGATAAGAAATTGCTTTTTTTATCAGGTAAATTATTTATTTTCTAATGTTACTGCACCATAAAGCCTTTTTTATTTTTTAAAATTCACTGTATTTGCTTGAAGCAACAATGAATCTCACTGCTTAACTAAAAGCCACTCTTAAAGCCAGCCAATCTGTTTCACTGTTATTAGTACCTTGTGTAATGAAAGTCCATGGGTGATTTATCTACATTATGAATATACAGATTTTCAGACCAAAACTTAGTTTTAGATAAATCTGCACCTGTCTCATCTCTTCATCATGTAGAACACTTCTTCTCATTATATTAAACCTTTAAAGATATTCTTTTTTATGTAAGTACATCTGTATTTTGATATGTGTCTGTGTATCAATATTATATTGTATAAATGGAGAGAGTGCACATAATTATAGAACACTTCTTTTCCCTTAAATAATATTGCTAGATTGTTTTCTCTTACATTAAGACACTAGAATCTTAAACCAGAAATATTGCCTCAATGTCACCTGTGAGATAAATTCAGACACGTTCTCTTACTTAGTTTCCAGTTATATATAATACTAGAAGAGTAATACTGTGCATAGCCTTTGTTATTATCTTCCTCCTGTACTGAATAACAGCACCTCTCTTGAGATTTGTGAGATCACATATTAAAAAAAAAAAAAAGAAAAATATTTGCAGTATAAGAAGGTTGAGTACTTCTGAAATTCTTCTGAAAATCTTTTAATGATTTTAAAAATATTCATTTTCTGGAAGAAACAAATGAACAAAAACTCCACTCTATTTTCTCTTGCACAGAAATTCAGTAACTGGAATGTGAGTGCTGTAAGCCATGTGCCCCAAAAAGCATTTCTATCTCAGATCTCTGATCTTTAGCACCTGCAGCACTACCTGAATCACAGACTCACTCAGGCTAGAAGGGTGTAGGAGCTAACTGGAACCTGCCTGACTACTTCCTTCATTCCTTGCCACGTGTGTCAATGTCTTCATTCCATTCACTGATCCAGCCAGGATGGAGGAGCTAAATGGAACCTGCCTGACTATTTCCTTTATTCCTTACCACGTGTGTCAATGTCTTCATTCCATTCACTGATCCAGCCAGGAATATTGCATGTGGGTGTGCTGTGATACAGCACTGCCCCTGGTTATAATCACTACTGATTTTGGAGTTTCCTCACACAAAAGATTATAAGATATTAAAACAAATACATTCTGTTGAGTGATTTACAAATTTGAAGTAAAAAGATGACCTCACAAAATTGTTGTTGCATTTGTTTCTCTACAAATAAATACAGATAAAGAAAAACTACTCACAATGTACAAAACTTTGAATGGAAGTATTCTATACACAAACTCACTACTAACCTTGGTTGAGAGTACTGTGCCCTAAGAGACCAGGACACAGCTTTCCTTGTTGGAGATTGATTTTCTGAATTACTTCCCTTTGATCTGAATGTTTATATTAATTTATTGTTATTATTTTCATGCACATTTTCTTGGTATTGCTTATTATACTGTGTATTTAAGGAGCATATCACTGTTCCATATACAGTAATACAGTTGATATAAAAACATCTTTTCTTCACTGCAGAAAAAATACTATAAAAAGAAATGCAAGTACTGTACACAGGAAACTTGAAGCAGTGTTTCCAATAGGATACAGGCATAGACAACCCATTCAATATTCATGAAGTACCAGATGAAATCAGGTATTAATTTCAAGTAAAAACAGGACCCTCTGAAGAAAATGCAGAGGAGGAAAATCAGCACAGTATGTGACCTAGTAAAGTGTGAGTCTAAACATGGTGCCAAGCAAATGTGCTTAATCTCCATTACAGTAAAGTAGGAAAAGAGCCTGATGAATTAAAAAGGTCATGTCAGCAGCTTTGAGACCTTTAAGGAGCAGGACATGCACTGAGGATCACAGTCTTCGTCTTCTTTTGAAGAAAAGGTTATATGAAATGGGTAGATTTATACTAGGGAAGAGAGGAAACACATAGAAGCTTTGGAAGACAACAAATCTGAAAACATACAAAATAATGCCTCAGAAAACAAAAGAACAAGCTTATCCCCATGTGTACATCCATCAGAGAAGAGAACATTATCATCTAAGATTTTGATCATCTAAGACCCTTAGTTCATGTTGCAAGGCACTGCCCACCTACATGCAACTTTTCCTCACTAAAGAGACCCTGTGTTTTCCAGACCGGTTCTCCAATTTGGCAAGTTCAGTTTCAGGTCTGAAAAGATTTCTCCACATGCAACTTTTCCTCACTAGAGCCCCTTTGTTTTCCAGACCAGTTCTCCAATTTGGCAAGTTCAGTTTCAGGTCTGAAAAGATTTCCCAAAGGTTCCTTTTGCTAGATAAATGTCGATATAATACTTAACAGGGGTAGACTGTATGGATTTGGATGTTGGGTTATCTGCACCATAATAAACATTACCAGTTACTCTCTGCAGGCACCTAGGCACAGTTAGTCATACCATATGGCAATGAATTATTGTGTGGGAAAAAAACCAAACAACTAGTTTGTACTTTTTTCCGTCCTCTGCATTATAAAAGCTAAGTATATCAATAGATTTCCTCCATCATACTTATGTTTTTGCAAGTCACTTGAAATATTTTGTTTGGAACATAACTGTCTTACTGAAATAAAAACAGATTCCTGAAACTATTAATAACTACAGTACTATATAAGTAAATAGCATAAGTTACCTGCTTGGTTTTTAAATATTTTTGATATGACGACAGGCACTTTGTGCTCAGCACCACCCTGTAAGAGAGAGATATTAACCATGAGATCTCAAGACTGAAGTGGTCATACTGAAATTTAAAAGAAAAGAGATGTTACCCATACCTTTATGCTTAAGCCCAAGCCACCAACTGGTTGTCTACGAAGTGTAACAGTTCTGTGCTTTAAAATATTGTAAAAAAAATAAATTTAGGTGAAAATACAATAGCTGAATGAGCATAAAAGATTTTCCTATGCTCTCATTTAATTAAAAAAATATTCCTAAAAGCAGCCTAGAATCAGTTATTATCACAGTGATCAGTTCTGAAGTATCATTTAACATTGATTTATAGGCAATTAATTCCTTATCACAGAGTGTAGAGCTTGAATTGTAGAAAAAATAAATTTAGGTGAAAATACAATATCTGAATGAGTATAAAAGATTTTCTTAGGGTCTCATTTACTTAAATATTCCTAAAAGCAGCCTAGAATCAGTTATTATCAGAGTGATCAGTTCTGAAGTATCATTCAACATTGATTTATAGGCAATTCCTCATCACAGAGAGCAGAACTTGTGAGTTGTGTATGCAGACTTTAGCATGCCTTTCTATCTCTGAAGTGATAGTCTTCCTGAACAGAAATTTGTACATACTTTTCCTTTGAACAGTGATCAGTTCTGAAGTATCATTTAACATTGATTTATAGGCAATTAATTCCTTATCACAGAGTGTAGAGCTTGTGAGTTGTGTATACAGACTTTAGCATGCTTTTCTATCTCTGAAGTGATATTCTTCCTGAACAGAAATTTGTACATACTTTTCCTTTGAAGAACTCAGATATGTGCATTTTCATAGCTATTGTGTATGCATACTTGTTCTAATTTTTCAACCAAAGATACCAGTGCTTTCTAGTCTACATCTTCAGATCTCTATTTTTTTGTAGCATATGCTGAAAAACTTTTAGTAATAGTCCACTTCAAATGCTTAATTTTTCATTTCAGATTTAAGTGCATAAGGAAGATAAACCTTTATCAATATTTTTCTAAAGAAACCTATCATATGTTCAACAGTATGCTGAATTTGACGTTTCAATAATGTGTAACTCATGGTGCCTGACAACATAATGATAGCATTTAATGTGTTGACAATAATTATACAGTAGATGGGAGCATTTTTTGGAACACACTGAACAGTATGGATGGAATGCAATCTTTACAGTAATTCCTGAACATATAAGATATTTTTTTTTCTTTCTCTGTGCATTAGAAATAGTAGAGGATTACTCCTATATGTATACTTTCTGTCCAAGTGTTTTACAATTTCACCAATTCAGATAAATCCAAATTTTTATTTTAGCAACCAAGACCATAATCTTATGATAACAAGTTATTTTCATATAGTTATCTTTTTATGTAACACTCATCATTCTAGATATATGTTCATATCAACTCGGGGGAACAGTATGCTGAATTTGACGTTTCAATAATGTGTTACTCATGGTGCCTGACAACATAATGATAGCATTTAATGTGTTGACAATAATTATACAGTAGATGGGAGCATTTTTTGGAACACTGAACAGTATGGATAGAATGCCATCTTTACAGTAATTTCTGAACAGATAAGATAATTTTTTTCTTTCTCTGTGCATTAGAAATTACTCCTATATGTATACTTTTTGTCCAAGTGTTTTACAATTTCACCAATTCAGATAAATCCAAATTTTTATTTTAGCAACCAAGACCATAATCTTATGATAACAAGTTATTTTCATATAGTTATCTTTTTATGTAACACTCATCATTCTAGATATATGTTCATATCAACTCGGGGGAAAAAACCAATATATCTGGAATTTCAGTCTCACTTTAGGTGGATAAAAATAATTCATATGGTAAGAAAATTAGGAATTGTTTAATACATTTTCAAAATTGCTTCTGTTCCAATGAATACTGTACTACACTAGTCTACACAAAAATTGAAAACTGCTGCATTATGAACATGGCACCTGACATGTCAAAAGGCTTATACAATTCAATTTCAGCTGATATGATTCACTTTCTTTGAAATCCATGCTAATGCAAATTTTTTCATAGGTTTTTTATTCACTTCGAACTGCATCATAACTTTTTATCAAAATGATCACACTCGCTGACAAAGCTCAGATCTGATCCAAATCAGAATACATCCCTAACTTTGAATGCACTCAGTGACTCACTCCCAAGAGATGCTTTCCAGGAACTAATGACTGTCTGCTTACTTAATTCTTGCTTTACTCCACTTATACTCACACCTTGAAAATATGTTATCCTAATATATCCCAACACAAGGAGGAGACAATGGAATAAATATTTTAACATTTTAGTTTGCTTTAGCACGATCACGCAACAAATAGAAAGCTGCTACGTGAATAGCTTTAGAAGTTTTATTAAAAAGACAAGTAGGGTACTACTTATTGGCATCTTATATTTTCAAATAGAGTTAACATACATTTATATGCTTGATAGGCAGTCCTATGAAGCAATCTATTTGCATAACATTGGTATAATCTTGATATTTCTATTTAAATAGTTCATAGTATTGCTTATTACAGGTATTCAAATATTGCTATTAAAAGAAGATATTAAATTAATACTTAAATGATCCCTACATAACAGCTTATTAAAGGTTACTTTTAAAAGCTGCAAAAACCTTTTTTCAAGATGTTCAAATTGCAAAGTGAAATGCTAAAAGCTGAGCATAATTAAGTATAATGATCAAGATCATTTACATAAATTTATTTCAATTCTATGATCATTTATAATTTGCTATTACTAGAAAAAAGCTTTCTTGTCCTGTTTGTTTTTTCTAAGGAAACATTAATAGCTGCTGTCTGAAAATGGACAGTCAGCTCAGTAGACTTTAGGTCTGAATCATTCCTGAATTTGTTATGCAAGACAAAATTTCATGACTATAAAATTTGGACTGAAACCCACAGTAGCTTTGCAAGTAACTATGAAAGAAAGCTCTACTCCAAAACATCTTGCCAAAATTGAACTGCAATATTTGTGGGGAAATAAACAAACCTATCTTTTTGTGACATTAATGTCCTGCACATATGCAGCTGAAAACCCAGTCAAACAAACAACTTATTTCACTTTCTGGTTGCCTGCAGGCTAGATATAATTTTTCTTTCCAGATGAATTTATTTATGGTTTTAGAGTGAAGTGAGAGTGACATTTGTATCAGTGTTAAAAAAAATAAATACAGTGCTATAGTTGACTGTGTAATTTTACTTCATTATAGGCAAGGAAAACTCTTTAGACAGTCTTACTAATTATAAATCTGAACAGCAAAGCTGAAATTAGCATTTTTTTAATTAACCTTTTTTGCTTTTTAACTAGCATTTTATTTTGTTCAATAGTATCTACAGTTTCTTGAAACTCTTTATTCTCATGGGTTCCAAAGCACCCGATGTGTACTCTGTAACAATCACTCATTACAGGTGTGCTACCAAGCAGAAGCAATTACGCACCCCCCCATGGCACAACAGCCTGTTTTGTTTCCTTTTTCTAGGAGATTACAGGGCAGAGTAGTAACTCACATAAAACTTCAGGATGCATTTGAATATACAGAACATAAAAAATAAAACTGTAATTTGCAGGATTCCAATAAGGAATACTCCTATATTTTGAGACCTTTTGTTGTTGCAAGCTGTCAACTGGTGAGGCAGAAAATTTCAGGTACTCCAAGAATTATGTCAGACAGGGAATATATTGAAAAGCAGATACAACAGAAAATTTTATCCATATAAGATGCAGACACCATTCACAAGAGCACTATTTCAAAAACTCTATAAAGAAGAGACCACTTGGTAACAGGTGCAGTGCTGCTTATATCAGCTAAAATTAATAATATAGCTGAAAAAATTGCTATACCTTTATTAGCTGCAAACTGAATAAGACTTTCAAATATAATGGGAAGAACTTTATGGTCAAATACTCATCTTTTAGTAAGAGATCTCTCCACAGAAGACTTACTAGATTCTGTTAAAAAACAACGATAGAAATTTTATGTCTGGGAAGGTCTTTTATGTCTTGTTATTTGCTCATAGGAAGCAGTATGACTGGAGCTTAATGGGCAATATGAGAAGGCAATTCAGTGCTTATTTCTGTTGCTCTGTTTTAGGAAGATTTTATATCCACCTATAGGACAATGCTTACCTAATATGTCATTATTACCAGGTTGCTAATACCCAGGACTGGCACTTGTGGCAAAAGACCTCTCATAAGAAAAAACTATTATATCTATCTTCCTATCTGTCTAAATTAATAATGTACTATGGGGATTTCAGAAGAAGATTCTGCTTAAAGCACTCCAAAATCATTGATATAAAGAGACATTTTTGAAAAAAGACTGTGTGTACAATATTTTACTTTTTTGTTCCAGTCTGCATGCAAATATTAATGAATACATATATTATTTCCAAGCATCAAACTGAAGTAGACAGCAGAAAAGGCTGGAGCACTTCACACAGTCCATGTTCTTCAGGTTTTGTAGAAACTGTTCTAGGAAACAAGCCCATTCACAATCACTAGGACAGGTTGGCAGAGACAGATCAACATTTAATTTGTTCTTTTCCCTTCTACTTATCAGTAAGACTACTGTGATGACCCCTCCCAGTGTCCTCCTGGACTGTCCTGTCCCCATAGCAAGGAGGTCAAGTGGGGAACCCCTGTGCTGACTTGTGTCCTGCATGGGCATCCTTCCTTCTGCAGGACCTGGATGCTGACAGCATTAAATTTGGTGGGAGAAACTCTCTTAAGGTCATACACACTTACGAGCTGGGCAGAGCTGCCAAGGTCACACCTCCTCGTGTTCCCAATAACAGCCTTGGGGGTAACTAAGCTGAGCACTGCCCCAGTGTGACAGTGTCACTTCCTCTCCATCTTTTGGCTCCACTGACCATTAGCATTACAAGGTCAAATCCCTTTAAACAACTCCACTTGTTAGCCTGAGTCTGTGCCCATGGGATAAGAGTAGTTGAGCTAAGCTCTGCAGATATCAACATTGCTATGTTCCTTATACTGCTTCAGACAGATATTAGCAAAAATGGGTCAACCAATTATTATCCACAGTAATGTTCATAACAATGCCCACATCAACAAATCCCATGGAATGGAGGGGCACCAAGAGGCTCAGTAC